GAGGAGTAATATTATTTGCTTCTGCTTGTTTCTCTCCCCCTTTTTTTTAAAAAAAAAAATATATATATATATTTGTATATTTCATGTGTATACATATATAGTTTGGAAATGTCCTTTTTTAAAACCATAAGACATTTTTGTACCCCATGCAAATTAACAACTCTTTGAAATTTTAAATAAGATATCTACATTACTTGCTGACTTGATTAAACGAGATTAAGGTTTTGAAAACTTTAAAGCAAATGATTCTCTAAAGAAATAAATATTATGCTTGTTGGCTTGACATTAATTATCTACCCGTGATTGTATCTCTTCTTGTACTCTGATAGTGCATATATATATATATATATATATATATATATATATATATATATATATATATATATATATATATATCTTCTTGTACTCTGATAGTATATATATATATATATATATATATATATATATATATATATATCTTCTTGTACTCTGATAGTGCTTATATATATCTCTCTTCTTGTACTCTGATAGTGCTTATATATATATATATCTTCTTGTACTCTGACAGTGCTTATATATATATATATATCTTCTTGTACTCTGATAGTGCTTATATATATATCCCTCTTCTTGTACTCTGATAGTGTTTTATATATATATATATATCTTCTTGTACTCTGATAGTGCTTATATATATATCTTCTTGTACTCTGATAGTGCTTCTATATATATCTCTTCTTGTGCCCTGATAGTGCTTATATATATATATATATATCTTCTTGTACTCTGATAGTGCTTATATATGTATCTCTTCTTGTACTCTGATAGTGCTTATATATATATATATATATATATATATATTCTTGTACTCTGATAGTGCTTATATATATCTCTTCTTGTACTCTGATAGTGCTTATATATATATCTTCTTGTACTCTGATATTGCTTATATATATATATATCTTCTTGTACCCTGATAGTGCTTATACTGATGGATGCTTTTTTATCATTATTCTGTGTGATTGTAACATTTGTAAACGTGAGACTATTATATGATTTCTCTAGTAAGTTATTAATTTTATCTTGAAAAACTAAAACTCACATCAAAGCCTTTTTCTTTTTAAAGACGTCTAAGATTACGATCAGACTGCCTAAAATCCAAACTAGACATCAGACTAAGTGTTGTATAAAATTTAATAAGAAATAATTTAATAAGAAATGCTTTGAGAATAAAGCCATATAAATTTTATACTGGCATGGTTAGTTAGCATTACCAGGAATAAAATCATTTTAAAAATTCGATAGCTTACTAAAATATCTGTCGGTATTTGTGGCTTCACTAGAATCCTTTTCAAGAGGGTCAGATTTTTACGCCACCCGCATTCCTCTGAGATTTGTATGTAGAAATCAATAGAGTCGGGAAGTATCAGTGAAATTTAACTGATGATAATATGATCGAAATATCGATTCTTTTATCAGTCAGAAGAATACGAAGCTAACAAAATCTCAAATATCAAACTCGTTGAAGACATTAGACAATTATTTTTCTTTAGGTACGTTGAAATGAAAAATATTCACGAAGCAATATCTTGTTCGGTTTTTCAAACGAATACACGCATAAATAAAAACATACTTTCACAGACATCAAACAACCTTGTCTCTCAAGATACGCACACTCATACATGCACACACACACACACACGCGCGCAAACACACATATACGCATCCCTCACACACACAAACACATACGCAATATTTTAGATTCTGAGAGCTATTTTTCTTTTGGTCTTTTTACTCATTGAATTCGTGCAAGAGAGCGAAGACTTACCATTTTTGAAATGATTTCTGATTGTGACGATTCTTGTTACGAAACAAAATAAAATAAGCTATGGATTCCTCTGCCATCACTTGACATTTTGTACAGAACAAATTCACTTATTTTCAAAAAGGCTGAGAGCGTACGCCTGCTGACCCCATTGGCTCTATGATGCAAAGAACAAACAGGACCGACTCATTGCATCGATTATAACAATAAATGGTTGTTGGAGTAGACCAGATGTACCATCCACGGGGTTGATGGAATATGTCAGACGAGCTGCTTACGGATTAGCGCTTACCTAGCTTCGAATGAATCTAAAATCTATGGCAGTGGACAACAGAGGAGGAAGCAAGGCGACTGTCGGGAGATTTTTGATCTGTGACTATTTGGACGTGCGACTCTGTGAATTGTCGACAGTTTATTTTTGCTACCGATTTGAATTCGTTCTTGACCATTCTACTGTTCAACTAATTATTTGAACTTATATCAAATATGTTCAGAGATTGTCAGTAAAACAATTTGTAATGATTCCAAGTTTTTGAAAATCGTCAGAAGAGGTTGTCTGTTTTTTCCACTTTGTCAAATTCATAATTGAGAAAGCTATATTTACCAACAAAATAATTCATTGTAGTCTGCGTTCAAATATTTCGGTGTGTGGATCATGCATAACAAATTTCGTATAGAGGATAAAGTAATAGAAGTCGGGATATGTTCCGCCATGTTTTTTCCATCAAGGTAAGACGCTACAAGAGCAAAATATTAACATGAAAATTCGATTTATATTCTGGAAATACCCTCGCCAGATCTAGACTCTTATAAAGATGTTACGCATGGTGCCCAAATCATTCAGAAATTTCTGAACTATAATCTATATACAGCCATTTTCTCAAAGAAAAGATTTAAAATGGTTTCAAGTGAACGAATTCTTTAAATTTTAAGCAAGAATATCCTTCATCAGATCTCAAAGATTTGCACGAAAAAAAAATATCTTCATCAAATACCAAATAGTACAAAATATGGAAGACGTGAGCAATAACAACAAAAATTGGGTAAAACACGTAATTAGAAGGGAAAATAATAATGATATGATTAAGATTTTAACTTTCTGGACGTCCTTAAAGAAAAGGTTTGGAAAGAAACTTTCATCAGTATTAGAAAAAGCGATGATCAGTTGTTGGAGTAAAAAAGACTAATTTCATGGAAAACCTTTAAGAAAAAGATTTTATACATTTCAACCAATAGTAACGCTAATTACCCAGTCTTTCACCATTAATATTAGAACTACTGTCAGTGGGCGACCACCTGCAAATTATTTTTTGCTGATTTTCTAAAGTAAATTTATGACCTAATCTACGAGTGCGCATTCAAGAACTGATCTCTAAATCTGTGGAAATGCTTAAGTGCATTCGTTTTGATAATCATATGCGCAAAATAAAAGCAGTTGTTAGACAGCTTTTAAAACTGTAGTGTGATGTGCGCCTTTTTTAACAGGCAGAACAAATACGCAGTTAGCTATTCTGACAGAAGGACAGGTTTCTGCAAAAAGAGAAAAAAAGGGAAGAAAAAAGAGGATATCACGATGGATACTACGGTAGAAGGAAATGTGTTTTTGTTATTTTATTCATATTTTTGGGGTGCAGATGTACAAGCAAAACTGAGAGAAAAAAAATGAATGGACAATTTCTGTGAAAAAGAAATAGAGGAAGAATCAAATAGTGGAGTGAAAAAAAGAGTTAAAATTGGCAAGAAGATGGGGGAGGAGGAGGAGGAGGATAATAATAATAATAATAATAAATAATAATAATAATAAGAAGAAGAAGAAGAAGAAGAGGAACAGAAGGAGCAGGAGGGGGAGGATAAGGAGGTGCGGGCAACGAACGAGAGAAGAGGAATTTGTGTAAAAAAAGATGCCAAATTTCAAGAGTAAAACGAAAGACACTTTGATGAATGAAAAAAAAAAGGATCACATGAGAAAAGAAGAAATAAACTAAGAGGAAGGAAAAATGAAAATTATAAGAATTTTTCCCCAAAGTTGTATATATTTGTACGTATGTATATATGTATGTATGCATGTATGTATGTATGTATGTGTGTGTGTGTGTGTGTGTGTGTACGTGTATATGTATGTATGTTTGTATGTATGTATATATGTGTGTATGTATGTATGTATATATGTGTATCTATATGTACATACCCCACATTTAATACATCTGTATGTAAATATATATGAATATATGCATGTATATCGCTGAGTTTATGTGCGAGAGGGAGAGAGAGAGAGAGAGAGAGAGAGAGAGTTGTGGTCAATTTGACAATGGAAAATAACTTGATGTTAGCGTGTGAATCGAGACGGAGGAACAGAAGTGTGGGGGTGGAGGTAAATTGAAGCGGAATGGGCGGGGATGTTGGGGAGGGGTGATTCTGTCCAAGATGGCGTTACTGTCAGTCTTCGTAATCTTATTGCGAAGCTTATCTGATAGATTTCTCGTCTTTGCTAGTGGCGCGGAGCGGCAACAAAGTATTTATTGCAAAAGTACGGAAATAAAAATACAATGAAATGAAAATGAAATGTGAAAATGAAATTAAAAAAAAAAAAGATAGTTTAAAAAGAAACCCAAAAATAAATGTAGTGGTGGGAAATAAAAGAAAAACAAAAAAATATTCGAGATAGTAACGAATAGGGAAGAGAAAGTATTACATTAAGTAAATTAGATCAACACAAGGAGGAAATTTCAGAAACATTCAAGTATAAGAAAGTTCCTTTTTTATACTGAAAGGAAGAAAGAAAGAAACGTATTGGGCAATGAAAAGAAAGAAAGAAAGAAATACATTGGGCAATGAAGAGGAAGAAAGAAACGTATTGGGCAATGAAGAGAAAGAAAAAGAAAGAAAGAAAGAAGAAAGGAAAGAAAGAAAGAAAGAAAGGCATTGCGTAATGAAGAAAAAGAAAAAGAGAGGCATTGAGCAATGTAGAGAAAGAAAGAAAAAAAAGAAAGAAAGAAAGAAAGAAAGAAAGGCATTGGTCAATGAAGAGTCAGAAAGAAACAAACAAACAAAGAATGAAAGGCACTGGGCAATGAAAAGAAAGAAAGAAAGAAAGAAAGAAAGAAAGAAAGAAAGAAAGAAGAAAAAGAAAGAAAGAAAGAAAGAAAGAAAGGCAGTCATTGGGTAATATACAGAAAGACAGAAAGAAAGGCATTGGTCAATGAAGAGTCAGAAAGAAAGAAACAAACAAAGAATGAAAGGCACTGGGCAATGAAAAGAAAGAAAGAAAGAAAAAAGAAAAAAAAAAAGAAAGAAAGAAGGAAAGAAAGAAGAAAGGAAAGAAAGAAAGAAAGGCATTGCGTAATGAAGAAAAAGAAAGAGAGGCATTGGGCAATGAAAAGAAAGAAAGAAAGAAAGAAAGAAAGAAAGAAAGAAAGAAAGAAAGAAAGAAAGAAAGAAAGGCATTGGTCAATGAAGAGTCAGAAAGAAAGAAACCAACAAAGAATGAAAGGCACTGGGAAATGAAGAGAAAGAAAGAAAGGCACTGGGCAATGAAAAGAAAGAAAGAAAGAAAGAAAAGAAAGAAAGAAAGAAAGAAAGAAAGGCAGTCATTGGGTAATATACAGAAAGACAGAAAGAAAGGCATTATTAATGAAGAGAAAGTACAGGAGCAGTAAAAAATAGAAGAAAATACGAACAGGTTGAAAGAAGAGGTAACCAAGAAAAAGAAGGAAAAGAAGAAAGAAAAAAATATGAACGTATGAAGGAAAAGGGGGAAAGAAAGACTGAAAGTGGTTAAGAAAAGAGCAGATAGTGAATAAGAGAGGTAGAGTGGGTGAAAAGAACAGAAGCGGTAAAAAAGAAGAAGGAGAAAATACGGCAGCAGTGAAAAATACAATACGAATCGAAAAAATAAAGACAAAAAATGAAAAAAAAAAGAAAGGAAAGGCATTGGGTAATGAAGAGAAAGAAAGAAAGAAAGAAAGAAAGAAAGAAAGAAAGAAAGAAAGAAAGGCATTGTGCAATGAAGAGAAAGAAAGATAGGCATGAAGTGAAGAAAGGAAGAAGGGACACAAGAAAGAAATACAAAAAGAAGAGGAAGAGGAGCGATAAAGTAAACAGTTAAGAAAAAGAAAAAAAAGAACAATACAAATATAGAAGAACGAAAATAAAGGAAAAAGAAAGAAAACGTAGAGAAGAATAGGAAGCTAAGATGGCTGAAAGAAGAGGTAACCAAGAAAAAGAAGGAAAAGAAGAAATAAGAAATATGAGCGTAAGAAGGCGAAGGGGAAAGAAAGACTGAAAATGGTTAAGAAAATGGCAGATAACGAATAACAGATGCAGAGTGGGTCACAAGGTAGAGAAGCAGTAAAAAAAAAAAAGAAGAAAATAAGATAGCAATGAAAATACAATGTGAATCGAATAAAATAAAGACATACCCGTCGCCACACACACACACACACACACACACACTCTCTCTCTCTCTCTCTCTCTTTCTCTTTCTCTTTTCTTTTTATTGCTAAAACGCTATTTTAGTGGATACTTGGATTCGTAGACACCCCGTTTATTTATTAAACAGAATATTCATTTATTTTCGTCTACCGGCCTAAATATTCGAGAAATCCTATGACAGAAAAATATGCGCCATTTTTCTCTGATAAGATTTCTCGAATATTCAGGTCGATAGACAAAAATAAATAAATATCTTGTTTAATAAATAAACGGGGCGTTTCCTTAAATAAGGGTATCCACTAAAAATATCGTTTAAGTAATAAAAGTTATGTTGAATTAATAAATAAAATTTCTTTCTCTCTCTTTTCAATATATATATATATATATATATATATATATATATATATATATATATATATATATATAAGATATATAAGAAATATTAAGGTGTGGTATATTTATGGGATAAAGTGCTCAGAGATAGAGCGTGTGTAAATATAAAAGTGAATATTGAAGTCAACACATAGAGGCGACAGGTTGTTTCATGCTAGACGCAATCGTTAGGCCACGAGTGCTGTTTCGTGGCCTGACGTTTGCGTCCAACATCCTGTCAACTCTAAGTGTTGACTTCAATATATATATATATATATATATATATATATATATATATATATATATATATATATAAGGTATGTTATATTTATGCGTTAAAGAGCTCAATATCAGCGATAGATCGTATGTAAATATAATAGTAGATATTGTAGTTAACACCCAGCGGCGACAGCCTATTTCAATGCAATCATGAAGCTATATGTGTTGTGTTTTTTATCGACTATTTATAAATAGCCCAATAATCTGCATCCGGACCCACAAATATTTCCACCCAATAGCCGCTAGAATAATTTGATGCATAGCCGCAACCACCCACCAAAAGAAACGTTAGAACAATACAATAAACTACCCACAATGCATAGCTGGCATATATATATATTTATTAAAGACATTTTTATGTTTAACGTTCTTTTTTATAGATACAAGTATTAAAGTAAATGCTCTGTTTATAATAAACAGTATTAAATAACATTTACCGGCCTGAATGTCCGAGAAATTTTCATAGAAAATATTCGTCCTTTGACAGGATTCGAACCTGCATCCTATACGGAACCGTCATTCACGCTGACGTGCCTTACCGTCTCGGCCACAAAGGAGCGTTCGGTAGGCAAGGTCGAATTTACTACTTATAAACTTCAATCTTCCATGAATCTCGTACATTCATAACTGCTCTGGCGTATCAAATGTAAACAAATGACGTCATATAATAAGAAATGGACAAAGTCCGACAATTTATTTATTAAAGACATTTTTATATATATTGAAGCAAAAACACAACACATATGGTCTGACGATTGCGTATAATCATGAAACAAATATCGCCGTTGGGTGTTGACGTCAATGTCCACTTATATATATATATATATATATATATATAATTCGAACTCGGCTCTGCGATTCCTATATATATATATATATATATATAAAGAAAGGAGGCACGTGCTAATACCCTTGGGAAAGTTGTGAATCCTCTTCTTCTCACTCCAGCTATGGGTAAATAGCTGGACAGGCTGGGTTCTATAGTCTTGGATGGCAACTGGTCTAGGAGAAGGACAACTCTGAATTCAAAACCTGCGGAGGGTCGTTTGGGGACCTTGTGGCACGTAGTGCACCAGGTCTCTGTATTCGGCCCTTCAAAAAGTGTGGCTGGTCCTGAACGAAAGCTTCACCACTATAATCAAGTCTCATGTGCTGTTGTCGGGCTGTCGGTTTCCTGGGAACTGATCTGCTTGATCCTCATACGTCGAAATCGACGGAGAGTCGACTATATATATATATATATATATATATATATATATATATATATATATATATATACGCGTGTTTGTCTGTGCATTGGTGAACACACAGGAAAGTCGCTAAAAAAATGAAAATACCACATAAGTTGTAACAAAAACATCCGTGGATAGAGCAAGTTTTCAGCAACAAAAAATATTTTTAAAACATAACTATGCCTTTTTTTCAGTGATGTACACGAGTCTGTGCCTGTCTCCAACCTGGCTTTTTACTCCCACTGTTGTCAGCACTGTTGAAACACATTACCTCCCCACCACAACTGTGTTCATAAGCATTAGTTAGTTTTCATAAACCTTTTGTAAAATTACATGAAAGCCAGTAGGTACAATTTTTTTCTTATGGCGGTATTCAGTGACTAACATCTGGTTTACACGCACATTTGTGTCAGACGTCGTTTTGTCAGTTATTTGTAATAAAGAAAAAAAACAGTTTATTGGTTGAAAGGTTCAATCTCAACTGGCATTATTTACATTAGTCGGACTATTGTCCTCATCTTTGTCGCCATATTTGTCACAACGTTTCGGCCGTTGTACGCTCCGGCCTTCTTCAGGTAGTTGGAATTTCGAACTGAACCCTTTATTTCGATCACTGGGGTAGACTGTTCTAGTTCCACGTGCCATGTTTGATGGATGTCAGTTATCAGTTATCTCTTGCTAATTTTCCCTCTGAAAGTTCTCCACTGCCTTAACCAGGAATTGAACTCACCTTCTTTTGGTCTGTCACTGGATCTAACCAACGCCTTTATCCACTGTGCCATGTGTCCTTGAATTGCAACCACCTGAAGAAGGCCGGAGCGTACAACGGCCGAAACGTTGTGACAAATATGGCGACAAAGATGAGGAAAATAGTCCGACTAATGTAAATACTGTACATAATACCTCATCTCAGAAATATAGACAGACTCAACTGACATACCACCAAAATGCACTTTTGAAATCGTGGTTCAACATAAATAATCGGGAGGCATTACTTTTGGAGTATCCTAAGTTTCTCCTCCTCCTCCTCCTCTATCTGTCTCTCATTTTCTCTATAAAAGAGAGCGAGAATATCTCGAAAAAGAAAATTTAAGATAGACAAACAAAAATGAATGATATTCATTGATTAAAGTTTAGAAAGAAGAGACAAAACTCCAACGAGAAGAAATATTTACAAGAATGAAAAATAGAATGAGACAAAAGAAAATTAGGTAGAAAGAGAAAAACGGATGAAGAAAGAAAGAAAGAAAGAAAGAAAGAAAGAAAGAAAGAAAGAAGCGAAAAGAAGGAAAAAAATGAAAGGTTTGGAAAGGAGAGAAAGAATAGAGGGAAAAAAAGAAAAATGAAAAGGAAGTAGAAAGAAGAGAGAGAAAAAAAGCAAGAACCAGAATGTTCTAGAAAAAGAAAAAAAGAAGTGGAAAGAAAAATAAAGAAAGAAGAAAGAGGAGAAACGGTTAAAAAGAAAAAAAACGAGTTAACGCGAATGTGGAAAAAAATGAAAGAAAAAATTGAAAGAAATAGCGAAAGAAAGGAACAAATTAAAAAAAGAAAAAATATGAGAGAGAAAAGAAAAAGCGAAAAAGGTGAGAAAGAAAAGAAAGAAAGAAAGAATAAAAGAAAGAAACAATGAATACAAACAAAAGTAAGAAAAAAAGTAACGGCGTTAAACATTCGCTGTTTTAATTCATTCTTTTTTTGACCCTCGCGAATTGCGCCATTTTTAATCCTTAAAAATTAATCTATAACTAAAGATATTTGTTGTTACTCATTGTTCGTCTGAAATTCTTTTCTGAATATTACAAGCGCTTCGCCTTCTACGCCTTCTTACTAATGAATATGTTGATCATGAACAATTTACTGATTATCCGAAAACCACATATCATCATCGCTTTCATCGTTTCTCAACACAATTCGACATAATGCATGTTAAGCAAACTGGGAAGTCACTAGCATCCATTTTCTTTCTATCTTTGGTTGTCTTTTGTTAATGTTCGACTTAATCTTTTTATTCTTCATGGTTAATTTAATCCTTGTTTTTCTGTTGCTATTTATTCTCATTCTGTCTATTTTATGCTGTGTTCCCAAAGATCTATTGCATTGTATTTGTTCTCTCCATTCTCTTCATCTTACTCTCTATCACACAATTTCATGCCTCAAAGACTGAACTCACTCGAAACAAAGCTTCGATCCCTGACTTTTTCGCAATCAACCTCTTAGTAGGCCGCGAATTATTCGACGGAGGAAAACCTAACACGGAAGTTGGTATGATTTTATCAAATACATATATTTGTTTATCTATTTTCCATAACAAAGAAGCGACGTTTACGCAGGTAAGAGAATTTGACTGTTCACATTCCACTTTTGGTCTATAAAGAATTTGAACTCTGAGGGGCGTTAAATGAAAGCCCAATAGGAATGCTTCCTGACAAAATTATCTGAATCAGCAGACGACTGAGATATTGACTGTTCAAAGCTATTTTAGGAAAGAAAAAGAAAAAATTGAACAATTTCTTTCGTTGTCGCTTGTAAACGACACTTTTACATTAAATAATATATATATATATATAAAATATATAGGTCAATAAAACTGATACACAATACATACATACATACATACACATATATATATATAATTCAAGAAAAAGTTTTGTCGGCTGATTGACTGATTGATGTTACGTTCAGCATATCCCGAATTCAGAGTTTCGAAACCAGATTTTTCTGGACTTACTCCGTCCAATCTTCAGTGGCTATCAGCAATTTATCCTTTCAATTCTCTTTGTTAATTCTTGAGCATTCTTGTATTTTCTTGAGTTAGGAAAATTGTACTTACTTTTTTTTTTTTTTTTACTTAAATAAATCATTTTAATGCTTAAATAACAAAATAAATATTTATATATGTCTTCACTTGGCCATTATTTCGCTTACTTATCGAATTTGGTGGTATCCCCTCTCTCTCTCTCCTATATATATATATATATATATATATATATATATATATATATATATATATGAAGAAGTATGGTTTTAAGATGTGCTATATTTATGGGATAAAATGCTCAATATCAGAGATAGAACGTATGTAAATATAAATATAAAAGTGAACATTGACGTTAGCACTCAGAGGCGACAGGCTGTTTTCATGCGAGACGACCATCGCGTCATATATATATATATATATATATATATATATATATATATATATATATATATATATATATATAAACGCTTGTCCTTTCCTCCGCTAATATGGCTCGACACCTTGAGTGGCTCTTCGGTCTTGTATTGGGTTAATATTAATAACAAAATATATAGGAAAAAAGTCATTAGTATCAAAGACTTACCATAGACTTACCTTATCCACACTATCTATCTATCTATCTATCTATCTATCTATGTAATTTCCTAAGTTAAGCAACGTCGAACCTGGTTAGCAACTAGATGGCTGACCGCTTGGGAAAACCTGATTCTGTAAGCTTGGATTTGCGGGTTGCTAATGGATATCAACTCGGAATTGTTAATCCGAGAATCGAGTTCCAATTCTAGTCGATCCTTACGGGGGGGGGTATGAAGCCCCCTCTTCTCCCACCAGCAATGATTTAATTAGTAAGACATGCTTCAATAATTCATATTTATCCCCGAAAACATTTCTAGCTCTAAATAACTTGCAAAAGCCTTGAACGTCGTTGAAAACAGATCAATCAATCGAACCTTTGTAGTAAATCGTTATTTCAATTTTCAAACAAATCTTTATTGGTTTAGTTCCTGAATATTTTTAAGCTAATTAAAATGTGGAAAGCTTGTCATTGGTAGATTTTGATATTTAAATTTTTCAGATTAATGCATGAAAATGATCAGACCGGCTTTCTTCATTTGTAGGAAATCTGAACAAATTTAAAGATACGATGCTATTTCTGATATTGTTTTCTTTTTACCATATATCAAGTCGTTCCGGTCCAAATAACCACTTCCCCATGAAATGTTACTTAATGCCTCTTTGAACCTGCAATTCTCGTGTCTTTTCTTTCTTTGTCTTTCCCTTTTGTTGCTGTTGTTGTTGTCTAGCGTGAAACTCTGTCCTTCATGTAAGGGGCACTGTCTTTTTTTTCCCAGCGAAAAATGCCTTTTTTTTCTGAAGAGATATTCTTCTTGTCTCAAGGATTTGAATGATCAGTGCTCGAAAATCTTCGCCATATATATAATTCCAACATGTTTGATAATCGTCTGCAGGCTGTTCAAACAAAATTATTGACGAGAACATCATTATTAGAAACGCTCATATTTATCCACGTTTGAAGAGAAACAATATTTCTACATATGAAAAATTTTCTTCAAACATAAAAAATGAATGACGTAATTTTTCACTTGACCCAATGAATATATATGGGTCTCTCTAAATTCTTTTAATAACTAACCGCATTTGTTTTTAACTTTGTTCAAATAAATTCATACACTTTTCCTATTGTAGTTTTTCTTTATACATACATATATTTTATATATATATATATATATATATATATATATATATATATAAAAATATAAAGAAATATAGTCTTAAGGTGTGTGCTACATTTATGGAATAAAGTGCTCAATATCAGAGATAGAGCGTGTAAATATAAAAGTTATAACATGAAACAGACTGTCGCCTCTAAGTGTTGACTTCTATGTTCACTTTTATATATATATATATATATATATATATATATATATATATATATATATATATATATATATATATATTGTGTATTTAGGCATTTTTTCATTGGTGCATGTTTCAGTAAATAATATAGACTAATTTTGTCTATTTTTATTTTATGTAAATTCTTTTCATATCGTCTGATAAGCTTAATAACATTATCATTAAAAGAAGAAAGAAAATCTCAATATTGATACATATTTATTAATCCTATTTAAGCTTTCGGCTTACATAATCCATTACCAAAGATGACATTACACTATATTAAACAGTATACGGACAAAATAAAGTCTGTTTTTGTTTACATGGAAGATTTCCAAGCAACGACAAAATTCGTGCATACGAGACGCTGGAAGCGAAAATCACACCGCAGCTCATGATGTCACACATGACCAAACGAGAGTGAAAACGAGAAGTATTAAGTAGGGGAATCCATTGGTATAAACCAATGGCTTCTGTTATAAATTATAGGCATTTAAGTATATTTGTAGACATTTCATAGTTTATTTTGTTCAGGTTAGGTTTCAACTGTTTTATGTATATAGTTTCAAGAATTTTTAGTTTTTGTTTATTGTTTTCATGTTTAAGTATAGTTGTGTTTTCAACAAGGATTTTCTGGAATTTTGTACGCGGCCAGGCATGTTTTAAATGCCTAAGTTATCATTCAAATGTACTGTATTTTCTTCATATATATATATATATATATATATATATATATATATATATACATATATATATTTCAATAAAGGTGCAATTAATTTACAAATTCATGAATTATTTATACAAAAAACAAATACAAAGGTTAATGATTTAATTGGCGAGATATCTATCGTCGCAAACAATTCAAATAATATACAAAAACCCCGACCTGTTTATGAATGAAAAGATCCTTGTTTCTATAAATTTCTGTTGCATGAGTTCTTATTATTTTTACAAGATTTCGTCTGTTCTTATATATATAATATGAAAATCTTTTTCCCTTGCGTCATGTTTACTTCGGAGTTTCGTGGCTATCGGAACAAAGTTAATTTGCTAATTAACGCAGAGTTCTCACGTGTGGCTATACCTATATAGTTATGAAACTCTGAAATAAACATGAAGTAAATGAAAAAAAAAAGAAAGCTAATTCTATTAACACTCTGTATTTGAGCACTCTAACACAAATCCTGCTTGTCTTAAATGCCTCCTCATCAGCAAACCACTGAAAAACCAGTCATTTTGGCTTCAAAAACAGTATTTCAAATTAACACTTTGGTGTAATGGATAGCAGCTTGGATGGAGGAATCGGAGAGCCGAATTCAAATTCCAGTCGACTCCATTACATTCACTTACGTGCTAATACCCTTGAGAAAGGTGTGAATCCTCTTCTTGTCCCTCCAGCTATGGGTAAATAGCAGGACAGACTGGGTTCTATAGCCTAGGAGAAGAACAACTCTGAATTCAAAATCTGCGGAGGGTTGTTTGGAGACCTTGTGGTACATAGTGCACCAAGTCTCTGTATTCGGCCCTTCAAAAAGTGTGGTTGGTTCTGCACAAAGCCTTCGCCACTATAATCAAATCACATATGCAGGTGTTTGATTGTCGGTTCCTAGGAACTGAGTTGCCCCTCATGCATCGACGGAAGAGTCCAGCATTGATATATATATATATATATATATATATATATATATATATATATATATATATATATATACACTGCGCGTAAATTATTATCGAGATAATTTTTTTCTAATATTTCAAAAACGTCCAATCAATTGGCGCCAGTTTGTTTACATCAGTACGAAAATTTCAGTGATCTCGCATGTCAATGTTGCCAACATTGTGTGCAAATTTGGTGTTAATTTATTGGAAGGTTTTTAAATATTAGAAAAAAGTTATCTTGATAATAATTTGGCACGCTGTATATATATATATATATATATATATATATATATATATATATATATATATTCATTTGAAAAAAGTGTTTTTGTCTATT